AAGTCATTAAAAACAGCCCTTCTAAATCACCAAAATTAATTGCCAAAGGGGGAAAAATGTAGTTTGTTTTATATCATGTGTATTATATAATTAAATATATATATATATTAGAGTAAAAAAAATCAGGCTTTGAGTTTCATATTCCATTATAAGATATCTGCCAGCTTCAAACTCCATATTTTACTGTTAACAAGACAGTTTTGCGAAAAGAGAGAACATGTCAATATGCTATTCTACAGCATACTCCAAGTCCATCTGTAAACTAAGCAAAATTAATTAAAACATTAATCATTAAGCTGCATCAATCTAAGCCAAGTACTAGTAACTCTGTAATAGGAAAAGTTTCAAAAATGTAACATTCATTGTACCTGACATGTTTATGTTAAAGAATTTTGGTAATGCAGAATGTAATGCAGGCCTAATTAGTAATATTTTCATTAACTTGCTGTTTTATTAGATAACATCCATTATAGTAAGTTTTCAATATACCCTACTTCAAAATAAAACCCAGAAAAAAAATAATCTATAATTCATATTTTTCATTAATTTAGACTTGCCCTGTTCCAAATTATACATTACTAATTTGGTAATTACAGAATTAGCATATTACAAATTAGGTAATATTAAGTATTCTTCATAGTGTAACATTTACTTCAAGTTATATCTTTCCAATGCCCTTCAAAATGTCTCAACACTACATTTTCAAGAGTTCAGAAACTTTACCATGAAAAGTTTAAATGTACTCATCTACAAATAGACATAAAAAGTGAGTAATACCTTTAATTTAGTTTTGACTCCACTTATTTCTTAAAGGTGGATGGATACACATACACACAGGTAACACAGGGATCACATTTAAAATACAAACACTGTATTTTTAAATAAATTGTAATCTCATACATCCAGTATCAGATACTTCAGATTAAAATTTTTATCTAAACTAGACATTTTCTGGGAATTGCTCCATGGGAATTCCAGAGGAACACTGTGATGTTTATGTTCTTTGTAATGTGCATCCACAAGGTATTCGAAACCAAAGTAAGTCTTTCAAGTATTTAAAATAAATTTTCCAACATCATCCCAAGGTGAAAAGTGATTTCTGATCATGTTTTCATCCCTTCCCAAGTATATATTACAAAGAATTTCTCATTAATAAGGTTTTACAAAAAATTATATGTCATGACCTGGTATTTCTTGATGATAACTTTAAACTATTTAATTTTGACTTCCTTATTAAATATTAAGAATACTCTCCTGAGTTATATGAGCATCAGCTTCTGGACCTTTATGGAAAATTTAACAGACAAATTTTACCCAACTTAATAATGAGACCTATGGTACTCAATTTTGAAGAAAATTTAAAAGCCGTGATCTAAAACTACTTGGTATCAACAGATTGTCTAAAAGCACTGCTTTAATTTTTATGACTCTCTTATATCAAAACCTTTAATAGTTTACCACTGAAAATACAGTATGAGGCAAATGTAGGTTTACAGTTGTGTTTGTGCAGGTTTATTCTTGCATTATTATTTATTAACTAGAGGCCCGGTGCCCAAAAATTCATGCACTGGAGGGGGGTCCCTCAGCCTGGCCTGCCCCCTCTCACAATCCGGGAGCCCTAAGGGGATGATGTCCTACTGACAGAGAGCAGGCCTAAGTTGCAGTCTGGCCTCCCTCTGCAGGAGGCGATAGGGCCGATCAGGGGAAGGCATTGCCCTCATCACTCCACGGCTGCTGCTGCCTCTCACCTCCCTCTGTGGGAGGCGATCAGGGGAAGGTGACATCTCCATCATGCTTCTGCTGCTGCCATGGCCGGCCACCATGGCTGCTGGCTGCCTGAGCCTCGGCCCTCATGGCCACAGTGCCGTGCCTGAGCCTTGGGCCAGCCCTGGCAGCAGCTGCTGCCATCCACAGCTTGCCTGAGCCTCAGGCAACCGCTGAAGCTTTGTCTGGAAGACATCTGCTCTAATTAGCATATTACCCTTTTATTAGTATAGACTAGAGGCCCAGTGCATGAAATCCGTGCATGGGAGGAGGTGTCCCTCAGCCCAGCCTGCACCCTCTCCAATCTGGGACCCCTCGGGGGATGTCTGACTGCCGGGATCGGGCCTAAACCGGCAGTCCGACATCTCTCTCGCAATCCAGGACCACTGGCTCCTAACCACTCACCTGCCTGTCTGCCTAATGCCCCCAACTGCCCTCCCCTGCCAGTCTGATCTTGCCCCCAACTGCCCTCCCCTATGGGTCTGATCTCACCCCTAACCCCCTGCCAGCCTGATCTCGCCCCTAATTGCCTCTGCCTCAGCCCCCACCACCATGGCTTTGTCCCAAAGGAAGTTGGACATACAGAAGCTGGCCGGTTGACCCGGTCTAATTAGCATATTACCCTTTTATTAGTATAGATTATATTATTTTCCATAGAAACAACTGTAAACCTACTTTTACCACACCCTGTACATTTAACTTCTTATAAGTTGCCATTGGCAGTCCTTCATAATCTCACTCAACCTTCCTCTCTTGAGCACCACAGTAAAAACTATATCCCAATCTAACTCTCAGTTCTCCAGCCATGCTTCCCTCTTCCTAACTCCTAAGGAGGCTGGCTGTCCTCTTTTCCCAGAACAACAGTCCTGGTGCCCCTCCCTCAGTCTACCTACCATCCTTTCATACCTCCCCAAACCTGTCCTCTGATAAAATACTTTCTGATAAGCTCAGACAGAAATGGTTTCTACATTTCTAGAGCATTTTGAAAGTCCCACACCTACAATCTTTCCTGAAGGGACTGAATCAAAATACAGTAACAGCCACTCATCAATTCAATCACGCCAAACTCTGGGAAGCAGAGAGCTGCTACCTAGACAGGCTTTGCAGCAGATGTTCACTGGGTTGGCTTAAATGATACATGCAACTGTAGCTTTTCCCTTCAATGGCAACTGAATTTCTTAAGGCCAAGGAATTTCTAGGAACATGGAGTGACTTGAAACAATCAAATTCTGTTATCACCTGATTATAGCCCTAGAGCGAAAAAAGAAGAGGCAAGTAGGAAATGACAGTGGGAAGAATATCCTACTTCAACTGTCTTGATTTTCTTTTTTCCTCTATGATGACTAAAGGTTTGTAAATGAGAGCAATTATACAGTGCTATCCTAGAATGTCTCTGGCCAATTCGCTAATATCCTAAAGACTGGCAATAACCCCAGGAATCATACTAATCAGCTTTTAAGTCTGGAATGATATATAACTGAAATCAATCTGATCAGTGTAGGCTCATATCAAACTACTTTCATATGCTGATAAAACTCATTGTAAGTGAAAGCTACTGAATGAAAGCCTAGTAATAGCTAGGGGAAACCCTTGAAAAAATTATTTTTAACTAAAAAAATGACAATCTAATCTATAAAATATAATAAAAACTACCTTTAAAAATTTGGAATGTGGACATATAGATGGTCACGAGGCATATGAAAAAATGCTCAAAGTCACTGATCATCAGAGAGATGCAAATTAAAATGACAATGAGGTATCACCTCACTCCCATCAGAATGGCTACCATCAACAAATCAACAAATGACAACTGCTGGTGAGGATGTGGAGAGAAGGGAAGCCTAATACACTGGTGGTGGGAATGCAGACTGGTGCAATCATTATGGAAAACAGTATGGAGTTTCCTCAAAAAATTAAATATGGAACTCCCATTTGACCCAGTGATCCCACTTCTAAGAATATATCCTAAGAAACCCAAAGCAGCAATCAGAAAGAATGGATGCACCTCTATGTTCACAGCAGCACAATTTACAATAGCTAAGATCTGTAAACAGCCCTAGTGCCCATCAGTAGATGAGTGGATAAAAAAGCTGTGGTACATTTACACCATGGAATACTATGCAGCGGTAAAAAAGAAGAATCTCTTACCCTTTGAGACAGAATGGAGGGACCTGGAGAGCATTATGCTAAGTGAAATAAGTCAGTCAGAGAAAGACAAGTATCACATGATCTCACTCATATGTGGAATCTAATTAAGAAAATAAACTGATGAACAGAGTGGATCCAGAGACATGGAAGCATGGAACAGAATGCAGAATCTTGGAGGGAAGGTGGAAGAGGGTGGGTGGGTGGGAGGTAATCAACCAAAGACCTTATATGAATATATGTATAACCCATGGACACAAACAATAGAGTGGTGAAGGCCTGGGGGATGGGTGGGAATGGGCTGGAGAGGGTTAATGGGGGAGAAGGGGAACATATGTAGCACTTTTAACAATAAAGATTTAAAAAAATAAAAAATAAAAACAGGAGACCCACAAAAAAATACATTTGGAATGTGACACAATGAACTTATGAGAAAACATTAAATTTGGTTGTAGTTCATATTCAGTTAACTAGAATTAAAACTTGATATTAAAAGAACATTAAAATCTTAAAATTTATCATAATTAAGATTAAAAAGTAAAATAGACCTATAGTATAAAAATTGTCTACAAATTACAAAAAAGAAAATGCTAACACATATACACACTTTATGTACTCATATGATCATGTTAGACGTAATACCAATCTAAAAGAGACAATGTCCAAATAATGAACAAAAGAATCATCTCATTTAGAAACTCTTAAATATTTGTTTTTAAAACTTTTTAATTCTTAATACAGATTTCTAGCCCAACAAAATAAACCTAATTAAAGAACAAATGAAAAATGGCTTTTAAAGACACCATTTCTATAAAAGAATACTAATACTTATTTGTTGTTTCAGATGTTGGCTATGCACAGAACTTATTCACTTCATAACAAGTCTATTGGAATTTCCCAAAATATCCCAAGCAGAGTTCATTATAGTTATTCAAAATTGACTGAAAATTTACACAGAAAAACTAATTTAAAAACTACTACACACTCTAAATCTTAATCTTGAATAGACAAGAATAGTCACATACCATGAACACAAAAAAGGAATGGTTAAAGAGAAGAACCTAGTACTATGTGCCAGACTTTTGACTTACCACTCTATGTAACTCATTCAATCTTCACAAGCTGTAAGGTTGGCAACCATTATCATCACCATCCTATCTAATAAAACAGAAACATGGTAATTAGCCGTACATCTGCTACCCCTCCCATTGGCTAATCAGGGCGATATGCAAATTAACTGCAAGCCAAGATGGTGGCCGGCAGCCAGGCAGCTTGAAGCGAACGTGAGGCTTGCTTGCTTCAGTGACGGAGGACTCCAACGTTCCCCGCCTGCCGCTGCCGGCCTCTGAGCTCGCAGTTTGAAACATTGTTACAAATATAGAAGCTAAACAAAACCCCAGAAACCTGCTTTCAGCCAGCCGGGATCTCAGAGCTGGAGTTGAAACAGTGTTTCGATTATAGAACCCAAACAAACCAGATACTTGCTTTCAGCAGCAGAGGGCTAAGAGCTGAAGCCAAGCCTCAGAGCTAGAGCTGGCCCAGAATAAAAAAAAAGAAAAAAAGGAGCAGTTGGGAGCTTCAGTCACCCACCAGCCTGAAAACGGCCCTCAGCCCCTCACCCAGACTGGCCAGGAACCCCAGTGGGGACCCCCACCCTGAAGGGGGTGTGACCAGCTGCAAACAGCCATCATCCCCTCATCCAGGCTGGCCAAGCACCCCAGTGGGGACCCCCACCCTGATCCAGGACACCCTTCAGGGCAAACCAGCCAGCCCCCACCCATGCACCAGGCCTCTACCCTATATAGTAAAAGGGTAATATGCCTCCCAGCACCGGGATCAGCGGAGCCGCGAGGCCTCCCGGCACCGGGATCAGCGTGACAGGGGACAGCGCCCAAACCCCCTGATCTCCCTGCGGCTCTGTGTGTGACAGGGGGCGGGGCCACAACCTCCCTATCCGCCCTGCTCTGTTCGTGACAGGGGAAAGCACCCCAAACCCCTGATCAGCCCTGCTCTGTGCCTGATAGGGGGGAGCTCCCCAACCCCCTGGTCGCCCTGCGGCTATGTGTGACAGGGTGCGGCGCCCCAACCCCCCCACGGGCCCTGCTCTGTGACGGGATAGAGCCATAACCTCCCCATCGGCCCTGCCCTGAGTGTGACAGGGTGCGGCGCCCCAACCCCGATCCACCCTGCTCTGTGTGTGACAGGGGGGAGCTCCCCAACCCCCTGATGGGCCCTGCTCTGTGTGTGACAGGGGGCAGTGCCCCAACCTCCTGATTGGCCCTGCTCTGTGAGTGACAGGAGGTGGCGCCGCAACCTCCCCATCGACCCTGCCTTGAGTGTGACAGGGGGCATTGCCCCAACCCCCCAATCGACCCTACCCTGAGCCTGACTGAGGGTGGCATCGCAACCTCCCGATCCGCCCTGCTCTGTGCATGACAGGGGGCGGTGCCCCAACTCCCCAATCAGCCCTGCTCTAAGCCCGACCAGGGGCTGCACCTAGGGATTGGGCCTGCCCTCTGCCAACCGGGAGCAGGCCTAAGCCAGCACGTCGTTATCTCCCAAGGGGTCCCAGAATGCGAGAGGGCACAGGCCGGGCTGAGGGACCCCCCTCCCCCCCGAGTGCACAAATTTTTGTGCACCGGGCCTCTAGTCCTATATAATAAAACCCTAATATGCAAATAGACTGAACAGTGGAATGACCAGTCACCATGACGTGCACTGACCACCAGGGGGAAGATTCTCAACGCAGGAGCTTCCCCCTGGTGGTCAGTGCGTTCCCACTCGGGGAGCTCCGCTCAGTCAGAAGCTGGGCTCATGGCTGGCAAGCACAGCGGCAGAGGCGGGAGCCTTTCCTGCTTCCGTGGCAGTGCTAAGGACCCCGAAGGGGATGTTCCTCTGCTGGCTTAGGCCTGCTCCCTGAGAGAGGGTGTAGGCCAGGCTGAGGGACCACCCCTTCCCCCCAGTGCATGAATGTCGTGCACCCGGCCTCTAGTTTACAGATGAAAAAACTGGGGGCCCAGAGACACTGAGTAATTTACCAGGAAGCCAGCCTAGCTCAAGTCCGTGTTTTCAAGCACTACACTTTTTGCTTCTTAAAATGGAAGTTATTCCACAGGAAATGTAATGGAATTATATTTCAATACACATCTATTTCCTAAAGGAAGGAAGAGTTTTCGAAAAAGAACTGAAGAAATACTACAAATATTAATAGAAACAGGGTTTTCTTTTTTTAAAATAGGAAAAGTAACTAAATAATATTTAAAATACAATGTACTGATATGGCATAGAATATCTTGAATGTAGTGAGTGAAGTGTCTGTATTCATTTTTTAAAAACATGAACATTTTTCGAAATCATTACCAACCTGTTTTAATTTATATGTGAATAAGAGCATATTGCTTAAAGAATACAAAAGTATATACTAAAGAGTACTACCAAAATCTGAAGCTTTATTTTACTCATTGAATGTATATGTACATACCAGGGACTGACATTGATATAAACAATGGTGTGATTCTAAAACTAATTATTACCATTTTCTCTGTACAGTTCATCTATTAAAGTACATTCCAATCTTCTTTCACCTGCTCCTCCTTGTGGCTGCTGTTTTAATAAACTGCCACTGGGTAGCAGCCTGAAAATGTCCCAGAACTTCAGACCAGGAAAAGGGCCCAGCAAGAAGATGGAAGATCAAGAAAAGAGACATCACATGAAAGTTGAGCTCTGTGAAAATTCCACACCAGTTCTTCCAGGCAGTCCAAAGATCATTTTACAGAATACAACCAGTTCATGAAGCAAAGCAGTACCCATTATGCCTGTGTACTAACTGTTCTTTTCCCATTGGTGTTTGTGGAGTTTTCTGGACTGCTTTTTATGGATTCCAACAAGTTTTTAATTCTCTCACTTGCAGGTTTCTTCCTTTTCTTCTTGTCATGAGACACACGCTTTGCGACAGAAGGGAGCAACAAGGCTGCCAGCCCCCATGGCTGGTTACTTGCTGGGGAAGGGTGGTCTTTATCTTCCTGATGTAAAATCCAGGCGCTTTCTCTGGCCAAATCCACAAATTTTTGCAGCTGGCTTTGACTTACATTTTTACTGATGTTGAGAGAAGTTTCAAAAGGATTCTGAATGTGCAATGGAGAAGGTTCAGGTTTGTTCTGTTCCCTTCCCTATAGATTATTACAAGGAAGAAAAAAATATATACATACATGAAGGGCTCAGATATAAGAACAGTTTGGTTTAATAAAAATGTCAAAAAAATGTAAGCCCTGGCCTATGTGGCTCACTTGATTAGAGTGTTGACCCATAAACCAAAAGATTGAGGTTTGATTCCCAGTCAGGGCACATACCCAGGTTGTGGGTTCCATTCCCAGTCAGGTGTAAAGGGGGAGGCAACCCTGATTGATGTTTCTCTCCCTGTGTCTCCGTTCCTCTCTTAAAATCAATAAAAATAAAAAACATGTAAAATACCAGAATTAACTTTACAGAGTAAACAATTTCTTTCCTAAGAGGATTAGGTATATATGTGTGTTACGCATTTGTGTATATGTGTGTGTATTTCTAAATGATTTTTTTCATTGTAGTTTTATGAGTATTCTTTAGAAGAAAATTAATTTAGTTGATAAGCTATGGATGATGCTGCTCAGGTGACAATATCTGAACTAAGTCAATCAATAATAAGTATTTTTAAAATAACAAATCTTTTACTTAACAGGACAGATCTGGGAAGAAAAAAGAATGAAAAAGAAAAATGGCAGAATATAAGGTAAAGAAACATTTATGTTTGAGACTTGCTAAAAACATATCTACTATATTGAGAATAGAACATACAAAATTAGCAACCTTAAGTTAAATATAGTAATTAATGTTTCCTGTATATAAAGTCAGAAAGGAAGAAAAGGAACAAAAGATTATTCATTATTCATTTCAAAACATTTTAAGTTTCCTATTTCATCATTCCTAAATATCCAACAAAATAAGGCTCTGCCAGGTATGACAGCTCATAGAAAGAAAAAAGAAAGCTGAAGCTATGACTCATATGAGCATCAGTGATCCATTAGCTGATATTATCTTCTCTTTCAAATGATATAACACATTACTTAAAAATTACAAAACAAATGGTCAAGATTCTCCAATGTTGAGTGAGCACCTGTTTATTCCCTAACTTTTCTCATGTCACTGCTCAACAGGGCTCCTGCCTGTCCATCATCTCTGAGCCCTAGGGGTAAGAGCACAAAAAGGATAAAGAATTTTATTTGTTCGGTAACCTTTTTCTAATCTGAAATCTAATTACAAATCAGATTGCATTCCTCTTCCCCACACTTTTTAAAGACAAAATCTTCATCAGCAGGACAAAGGTTAGGGAAGAATGAACAAAGTTGAGTTGAAGAAAGAGCAAATAAAAGTTATCTGAGAATGTGTTTTATGAAACCACTCTTACAAGGGTTGTAACCAAATGTCCAAATGATAAACAGAATAAACCCAAACAGAGAACTATCTCAAGAACCCCCCCTCCCCATTTTATAAACAAATTTTTCCTAGGGGTCTACTCCAATTTTCTTTTTCAGAAAAATGTCTATCATTCCAACTATTCAGATGAGCCAAAATCATAAGTTCACTTGCAAAATAAATTAAATCCTGAAGGCTCAAATTGAGGGAATCACTAAAATCTATTATTCAGGTCAGATATACAATTTGTTCCCTGGGAACACAAATCCAGTTTGAAAAGAACTGTATATAAAGTTATGCTTTCCAGAAAACTTTTCAGAATTATATTCCACATTTTGAAAGATACAGTATTAGATATTGAAAGAACTGGCTACTGCCCTCCCCAAAAAACTAGATGACTGAACTTAGTCAAGTTATGTAGCTCCTCAAGGCATCAATTTCCTTATTAATATTTATTACTATAGAGTTGAAATGTAATATAACATTTGTTAGAATGTTTTGAAAACTAAACTAATTGAATATTAGTATAGGAGACCAAATACCTAATCACCAAATATTAAAATATTATTTACCTGTCGAATATTTATGGAATTTTTATTGAAAGCAAAATTTCCAAAATATTCAAAAAATTCCTTCAGTAGTAATTCTGCAAGAAAAGAAAATAAGAAGAAAGTTTGCTTCAATCCAAAATAGGACACACAAAAAAAG